GGGAGGCCGAGGTGGGAGAACACTTGAGGTCAGGAGTTGGAGGCTGCAGTGAGCTATGACGACCCCACTGCACTCTACCCAGGTGGCAGAGTAAGACCTTGTTTCAGAAAAAGATGAAGTGTAGAAATAGACCCGTACAAATACGGCCAATGATTTTTGACAAAGATACAAAGACATCTCAGTGGAGTAAGGATAATCTTTACAACAAATAGTGCTTGAAATATTGGATATTCATGCAAAAATAAAAGAACAGTGACTTAAACTTACAGCTCAGACAAAAAAATTATCTCAAAAAAAATCATAGATCTACATGTAAAATGTAAAACTAAAACTTTTAGAAGAAAACAGGAGACAACTGTTGTGACCTTAGACTAGGCAGAGAGTTTTTAGATATGACACCACAACCACAACTTACAAAATAAAATGTGTATTAATTGGACTTCATCAAAATGATAAACTTTGCTCTGTGAAAGACACTATTAAAATGAAAAGACAACCTACACAAAGGGAGAAAAATCTTTACAAAACATATAACCAACAAAGGATTTGTAACTAAAATACATAAAGAACCTTAATACTTAATAGTAAGTCAATCTAACAAACTTCCCCAGACAAAATGGAGAAAATATTTGAACAGACACTTCTCCAAAGAAGACAAATTTGTTACAGTATATGAAAAGATGCTTAATGTCATTGGTCATTAGGGAAATGCTATTTAAAACCACAAGAGATACTACTACATGCTCCTTAAAATGGCTAAAATCAAAAAGGCTGATCATTGTGTTGGCAAAGATGTGAAACAACTGGAACTGTCATATGCTGCTAGTGGGAATGTAAAATAGTATACCCACTTTGGAAAACGGTTTGGCAGTTTTGTAAAAGGTTAAATACATATCTACCAGATGATGCAGCCATTCCACTCCGAGGTACTTATTCGAGAAAAATTAAAGCATATATCGACACAAAGTCTATTACCCAAATGCTCATAGCATCTTTATTTGTAAAACTCAATCACTAGAAACAACCTAAATGTCCATCAGCAAGTTGAAGGGATTAAGCAAATTGAGGTATACAATGGAGTACTACTTAGCAATAAAAAGGAATGAACTATTGATACACGTAACATACATGAATTTTAAAATAATTATGCTGACTGACATATGCCAGGAAAAAGAGTACACACTAAATGATTCCATCTATATGATATTCTAGAACTGCATTGTCCAATATATTACCTACCTGCCATGTGGCTGTTGAACACTTGATATACGGCTAGTGCAAAAGAATTGACTTTTAAAGTTTATTTAATTTAAATTATTTCAAATTTCAAAACTAAAGCAAAGTAAAATATTTTTCCTACTAAACAATGAATGAAAACATCTTCGTTGTTTTGGCAGAACTGTATTTGCTTTAACCATGGCATTAAGTAAGATATTGTATCATGGTATGTGGGTTGGGTGTACTATAGTTGAACATTTTATATAGACAGCACTATAGTGATACCTATGTAAATTGTAATTGGTAAGAAAGTTGAAATACTCTTACTTTCATTATGATTTAATTTATGCCTTTTTCCAGATGGAAAATAAGTACAGATGAATTTTAAAATTTAAAACAAAGGCATAATACTGATGCAGAACCAAGTGGAGATATAGGAGCTAGTGCACAATTATAACAGAAAAGGAAAAAAAAAGACTGAAAGAAGGTATATTGCAAATTCCATGATGAGTCATGGTTTGGCTGCAGTAGAGATAAACAAAATAAAATCTGTTTGTTTTGTGTAAAATGTTTTTCAATAATATAGTAGGCAACATTAAGAGACATTTTCAAGGCCGGGCGCTGTGGCTCACGCCTGTAATCCTAGCTCTTGGGAGGCCGAGGCGGGCGGATTGCTCAAGGTCAGGAGTTCAAAACCAGCCTGAGCAAGAGCGAGACCCCGTCTCTACTATAAATAGAAAGAAATTAATTGGCCAACTGAAAATATATAGAAAAAATTAGCCGGGCATGGTGGCGCATGCCTGTAGTCCCAGCTACTCGGGAGGCTGAGGCAGAAGGATCACTCGAGCCCAGGAGTTTGAGGTTGCTGTGAGCTAGGCTGACGCCACGGCACTCACTCTAGCCTGGGCAACAAAGCGAGACTCTGTCTCAAAAAAAAAAAAAAAAAAAAAAAAAAAGAAAGAGACATTTTCAGCAAATACACAATACATTTGATTAAAAGTTTCCCCTTGGCTGGGTGCAGTGGCTCACACCTGTAATCTTAACACTTTGGGAGGCCAAGGCAGGAGGATCATTTGAGGTCAGGGGCTCAAGACCAGCATGAAGAAGAGCGAGATCCTGTCTCTACAAAAAAATAGAAAAATTAGCTGGTGTGGTGGTGCCGATAGTCCCAGCTACTCAGGAGACTGAGGCAGGAGGAGGATTGCTTGAGCCCAGGAGTTTGAGGTTGCAGTGAGTTATGATGATGCCACTGCACTCTAGCCCGGGCAATAGAGTAAGACCCTGTCTCAAAAGAAAAAAAATTTTTTTTTCTCTCAATAATCAAAAAAGATATGGCAAAATTAGTGAACTGAAATGAGAGTTTTAAAAAATTTTGTAAACAATTTGTACCAGGATCTGAGCTTGTAACTTTGGCCCGCTATAAAAATAACTTAAATTCTTATACAAAAAGAAAATGATTTTTAGGTAGAGAGATACTAAAAGCATTATTATTTTAGTTATGGACATTTTTAAAGAAAATTATAAGGAAAAGATTTAAAAATACATTTTAATAAAAGTAAAGATCTTCAATTAAGCCACTAAAAACTTGCCCATAGAATACAAGACTTAATATCAAAGATCAATTAATTCACAATTTGAAATATTACAAGTATACTTCTGTTTAGCTTTAGATGAGCAATTAATTAATATTTTTGGCAAATTTTGTCTCAAAGGACTTCCAAATTTACTCAAAAAGATGTCAAATTGTAGCCAAAAATATTCCCTCATTATGTATATATTTTTTAATCTTTCACATCTGAAAAAGAAATTTTTCAGTCAGACCTGAGAAAACTAGCTTATGTCACAAGAGAAATAAAAGACAATGGATTTAATGATCTTGTGTTCTTTGCCAAAGCTTGTCGGTTGAATCATAGAAGAGCTTTACAAAGATTTACTGTGTTCTTAACTCCCATTCAAGATTTTCTTACAATGAAAGAGATGTTTGCCAAATATTCAAGATCAAAGACAAATAAATGACAGTGTGATTTAGGTTTTTTCACCAATATCACACAGCACATGAACATGCTAAATTTGAAGCCACAAGGAAAGGAAAAGGTTATTTATTTCTTAGACATTCAGGTTTGAAAACTTATTTATATTGAAATTAAAACTTTTCATATAATAAACAATAATTGTTATATACAGTTTTCTAATATAAATCAACATAAAGAAGAATTTAATTATACACAGCAGAGTTACATAAATTGGCTACAAAGCTTATAAGAAACTTTTGAAGAATTCTTTGTTGATATTGACACATTTAACATTTTTTTTCAATTTATGCAATGACTCTTTGAATTTAATATTAATAATACTCAGTTGATCCGAGAATTGGTGAATTTATTGAACTTGGACAGAAGTAGTTTAAAACTGATTGGTTTTGCTTCAAAGCTAAATCAATTCTTCTATAAAAGATGAACCAGTCTTACTGATTTAGATAAGAATATTAAGCAAAAATGATTGCTTGGTATTCAATTCAGTTATCGAAAACCCTTTAAGTAAGTTTGGAACAATTTGGGAACGTAAATCTACCATTTAAACTATCTCATAAAATCTAAACAGAGGTAAAATATCCAGGATGACAATGTAGTTTTTGAATTGAGATGTGCTTTAAGCATAAACTGTAGACTAAATTTTGAAGAGTTGGTGTATGAAAAGGAAAGCAAAATATCTCCTTTAGAATTCTTTATGTTGATTACCTGTTCAAATACTATTTTGGATATAATAGGATAAATATATTATTAAAGTTAATTTTATATTGCTTCTTAATGTGCCTACTGAAAATTTAAAATTACATATGTGAGTCTCATTATATTTCTATTGGCCAGCAATACTTTAGAAAATGCAAACTAATTCACAGTGACAGAAGGCAGATTGTTCCCTGAAGAGGGGAGATGAGGGAGGGACAGGACAGGTGCATTACAAGGAAGATTTTGGGTATGATGTCCAGCATCTTGCTTGTGATGATGATTTCACAGGTGTGTGCATATGCAACCCTTATCAAACTATATATTTAAAATATGTGTGGTTTATTGTATTTCAACTACATCTCAACAAAGCTGTAATTTTTAAAAGGCACCGTTTAGAAAAGGAAAAGATAAGACATAGAATGGAAAAAAACTTTAAAACATCTATATATGACAATTTTTCCAACTTAATAATAGGAAGGAAAACCATCTAACTTAAAAGATTGATAAAAATACTTGAAAGGACACTTCTCAGAGGAAGCCATATAAGTGGCAGATAAAGCACATGAAAACATGCTCAATATCATTAGTCCTTAGGGAAATACACATTAAAACCATAGTTCACTATCACTACACAGCTATTAAAATGGTTTTAAAAGTTTTTAACTAATCATACCAACAATTTGACAGAATATGGAACAACTAGAACCCTCACACATTGTTGGTGGAAATATAAATGGTACAGCCACATTGGAAAACAATTTGACAGTTTCCTACTAAATTAAACAAATAGTTATCATGCAATCCAGCGATCTCATTCCTGGATATGTATGCAAGAGAAATGAAAGCATATGCCCACACATAGCTCCATGTACAAATGAATATAGCAACTTTATTACAGTAGCTTGAAACCAGAAAAAGCCCAAATGTTCATTCAAAACTGAATTAATTTAAAAAGTGTGGTATATCCATACAATGGAATACTACTATAAAAAGAAACAAATTACTCATCTATGCAATTACACCAATGACTCTTAGAAACACTATGCTACTTACTGTTAGAGTGCGATCAGTAAAAATTGCAGAATACAAAACTCCAAAATTCCACTTTTCTATGAAAGCAACCAAAAAAGAAAATGGCAAAAATGATCAGAATCCATTTTTTTTTACAACTCTGGAAATTACTCAAAGGCTTGCAGCAATCGAAGATCACTTATTCAAGGAAAACAGCTGAAGCTCAGTAAGAACAGCAAGATTTGTGGTGTTCTAACTTACCCCAATCCTGTCTCCTCTATTCCCCAGCTTAGTGGTGGCTTTGACAATAACAGCTCACATTCCCGGTACTCTGGAGGGAGCAGAATGGGCTCATTCACCAATAAATGTAATCATTTGTTTTGACCCATCTAGTGGTTCCCTTCTAAGATCAGCTCGAAAGGCTTGTCTTTGTTTTGCCTGACTCAGAGCTGGCCCAGTGCTAGAGCCACTGCTCGGGGGTAAAGGGTGGAGGTGTTTATCAAAAACATTTACAGGCCAATGTTTTAGTCACTGCTGCTTGAGGCATTGGATAACAGCTGGAGCAAACAATAGTATAACCAAAAAGCTTGATAGGAAAGGCTGGAGAACAAGGTGTCCATAAGGGATTTGAAAGTTCTAACATATTCCTGGAAATCCAAAAGGCAAATGCAAATGCTCACTCAGGGCTGTTTGCATGCTGAGGAAAGATCCAAGAAAGCCCTAAGCTCTCACCTCTGGCTGACTTTCAGACTCTGCATGAGCAGGAAGTGAAGGCTAATACAGAGTTACAAACCACCAGGCTGAGTGGTACAGGTGTGTCCCACGTACACACACAGCTCCTCAGCAAAGACTGGGAGACTTTTTTGGTTCCAGAAAGCTCAAGGATATTTCTGTCCATCCACTAGTTGGCTGCCTAAGCTAATGGAACAGGGACTTCAGTAACCATGCATGACAAAGAATACAGAATTTACAGAATTAGTTCAGAAAAGTCACTGAACAAACCAACAAGAATGAGCACAGTATTCAGAAACAATGACAAAGCCTGGGGATGAGGGAAAGGCTTATTTATTTCCAGAGTTGTATATTATAATATTCAAAATGTCCACTTTTCAACAAAAGGTGATAAAGTATAGTAAAAAATAAGAAAATATGGCCCATACATGGCTGGGGAGGGGACAGTGGCGGGCAATCGATAGAAACTGTCCCTGAGGAAGCCCAGACATTAGATTTTCTAGACAGATTTTAAATCAACTTAAATTTAAATATGCTCAAAGAGCTAAAGGAAACCAGGTCTAAAGAACTAAAGGCAAACAGGAGAATAATATTCCACCAAATAGAGAATATCAATAAAGAGATTGAAATCATACAAAGAAACCAAATAGAAGTTCTGTGATGGAAAATACACTAATTGAAATGAAAAATTCACTAGAGGGGTTCCACAGATTTAAGCAAGCAGATGAAAAAAAAAAATTAGCACACTTAAAGACAGGCCAATTGAAATTATTGAGTTAGAGGAACAGAGAAAATGAAAAAGAATGAAGAAAAATGAACAGAGCCTCAGAGACCTGTGGAATGCCATCAAGCTTTCTCAATAAATGCATAATGACAGTCTCAGAAGGACAAGGGAGAGAACAAAGGGAAAAGAAAATATTTGAAGAAATTGTGGCCAAATTTGATGAAAGTATGATCTATACAGCCAAGAAATTCAACAAACTCCAGCTAGGATAAATTCAAAGGGATGCACACCTAGAGACATCATAATCAGATTGTCAAAAGACAAGAAGAAAATCTTGAAAGTAGCAAGAGAACAGCAGCTTATCACATACAACACATCCCTAATAAGATCAATTATTGATTTCTCATCAGAAACAATGGAGGCCAGAGGAAGTAGAATGGTATATTCAAAGAGCTTCAAGGAAAAAAAAATCAACCAAGAATGCTATATCTGACAAAACTATTCTTCAAAAATGAAGGAAAAGTCAAGACATTACCAGGTAAATAAAAACTGAGAGAGTTTGTTGCCAGTAGACCTGCCCTAGAGTAAATGCTAAAGGGAGTCCTTTGAGCTGAAATAAAATAACACTAACCAGTTACTTGAATTCATATGAAAAAAGAACACCTGGAATGATAACTACATAGTTAAATATAAAAGACAGTATAAATGTCCTTTTCTTCTATATGATTCCAAAGACAATAGTACAAAGCAATGATTATAAATCTATGTTGATGGGCACACAATGTATAAAGATATAGTTTGAACAAGAACAGCATAGGGAGCTAATGAACCTATATAGAAGCAAAGTTTTATATTCTATTGAAATTAAGTTGTGATTAATCCAAACTAGATTTTTATTAGATAAGATGTTAATTATAATCTCTAGGGCAGATGCAAATAACTAAAAATATATATAGTAAAAGTAACAATGAGGAATTTAAAATGGTACACTAGAAAACATCTGTAAAATCCAAAAAAAACAAAGGTTGTAATGGAAGAACTGAGGAACAAAAAGACAAATGACATATAGACTGGAAGAATCAAGTCCTTCCTTACTAGTAAGTCCTTCCTTACTAGTAACTAGTAATCAAGTCCTTCCTTACTAGTCCTTCCTTCCTTACATTAAATTAAATGGGTTAAACTCACTAATTAAAAGGCATAGATTGGCAGAATGGATTTAAAAAATGCAAATACGTTAAAAGGATGGAAAAATACTCCATGCAAACAGTAACCAAAGAGAGCTGGAGTGGCTATACTAATATCATATACAATAGACTGTAAGGAAAAAGAAACATTACTAGAGACAAATAAAGACATTACAGAATAATAATAGGGTCAATCCTTCAAGAAGATATAACAATTGTAAGCATATATGCACCTGAAAACAGAGCCTCAAAGTACATGAAACAAAAACTGAAGTAATTGGAGGGAAAAATAAACAATCCAACAACAATATTTAGTCATTTCAAGACTCCATTTTTTCTTTGGAGACAAAGTCTTGCTCTTTCACCCTGGCTAGAGTGCAGTGGCATCATCATAGCTCACTGCAGCCTCTAACTCCTGGGCTCAAATTGAAATCATACAAAGTATGTTTTCTGCCCTTGATGGAATGAAATTAGAAATTAATAACAGAAGGATGTTTGGAAAATTCACAAATATGTGGAAATTAAACAACACACTTCTAAATAAGCGCTAGGTCATAGAAGAAATCACACAGCTAATTAGAAAATATTTTGATATAAATAAAAGCAAAAATACAACATACCAAAATTTATGGGCTAGAGTGAAAGCAGGGTCCAGAGTGAAATTTATAGCTACAAATATTTAGATTTAAAAACAATAACCTAATAGTCCACCTTAAAAACTAGAAAAAAAATAGCAAAATAAGCTCAAAGTAAGCAGGAATAAGGAAACAATAAAGATTAAAGTATAAATAAATGAAAGAGGATAGAAAAACATTAAAGAAAATTGATGAAACCAAATATGGTTCTTTGAAAAAAATCAATAAAACTGACAAACCTTTAGCTAGACTGATTAAATAAAAAAGAGAGAGAAAACTCAAATTATTGAACTCAGGTATGAAAGAGAGGACATTACTACAGGCTTTACAGACACATAAAGAATTATGATGGAGGCCGGGCGCTGTGGCTCACGCCTGTAATCCTAGCTCTTGGGAGGCCGAGGCGGGCGGATTGCTCAAGGTCAGGAGTTCAAAACCAGCCTGAGCAAGAGCGAGACCCCGTCTCTACTATAAATAGAAATAAATTAATTGGCCAACTGATATATATATAAAAAATTAGCCGGGCATGGTGGCGCATGCCTGTAGTCCCAGCTACTCGGGAGGCTGAGGCAGGAGGATCGCTTGAGCCCAGGAGTTTGAGGTTGCTGTGAGCTAGGCTGACGCCACGGCACTCACTCTAAAAAAAAAAAAAAAAAAAAAAAAAAAAAAAAAAAAGAATTATGATGGAATATTATACCATGCCAACAAACAAAATAACCTAGATGAAATGGAAAAATGCCTAGAAATGCACAAACTACTAAAAGGGACTGGAAAAGAAAAAGAAAATCTGAAACAGCCTATCACAAGTAAAGAGATTGACTTAGGAGTCAAAAAAATTCCAACAAAGAAAAGCCCCAAAGAAGATGGCTACACTGGTGAATTCTACCAACCATTTACGGAAGAAGTAATACCAATTTTTCTTAAACTTCCCCCCTAAAAAGAAGAGGAGGCCAGGTGCAGTGCCTCATTCCTGTAATCCTAGCATTCTGGGAAGCCGAGCCAAGAGGATCACTTGAGTTCAGGAGTTCAAGACCAGCCTAAGTAAGAGCGAGAACCTGTCTCTACTAAAAAAAACCCAAAAAAATTAGCTAAAAATTAGCCAGGCATGGTGGCGCACCCCATGCAGTTCCAGCTACTCAGGAGGCTGAGGCAGGAGGATCCCTTGAGCCCAGAAGTTTGAGGTTGCTGTGAGCTAGGCTGACACCACGGCACTCTAGCAAGAAGAAGAGGAGAGGACACTTCTTAAATTATCTTATGAAGCCAGTATTACTCTGGTACCAAAACCAGACACAAATATCACAAGGAAAAAAAATAGAGAGCCATATTCCTTCTGAATGTAGGTATAAAATCGTCAATAAAATGGTCAAAAAGCTAATCCAGCAGCATCTAAAAATGATACACACCATGACCAAGTGGTATTTACCCTGGAAACACAAGCTTGGTTCAACATATGAAAATCAATCAATGTCATACACCATATTAACAGAATAAAGAGAAAAAAACAAATGATAATCTCAATTGATACAGATAAAGAATTTAACAAAATCCAACACCCTTTCCTAATAAAAACACTCAGCAAACTAGGAATAGAAAGGAACTTTCTCGATCTGATGAAGGCCATCTGTGAAAAACCCATAGGGTTTTCGTATTTCATTATAAAAGACTGAAAACTTTTCCCCCAAGATGAGGAACAAGGCAAGAACATCTGCCCCCACTTCTATTTAACACTGTATCGGAGTTTCTAGGCAGGAACTTATTAAACAAGAAAAAGATATAAAGACACCCTGATTGGAAAAGAAGTAAAGCTATATCTATTTGCAGATGACATGATGTTATATGAAACGATAACAGAAAAACCAGCTTGGCAAAGTTGCAGGATACAAAGTCAATACATAAAAAAAAAAAAAAAGTTGTTTTTCTATACACTAACAATAAACACTCTCAAAACGAAATTTTAAAAACATTATTTGAGCCAGGTGTCGTGGCTCACAACTATAATCCTAGCACTTCGGTAAGCTAGAGCAGGAGGATTGTGTAAGGCCAGGAGTCT